GAGGGCAGCGCCGGGCATCGGACGTTCCGGGAGGGGCACGGTCCTACCCTAGAGACCGGGATGTTCCCGGGGTGCTCCGGTGTGCGCGGCCCCGGGCTCAGGACCGTGCAGCACAGCCCAGGAGCACCGGGTGCGCGCAGCCCTCGCACCCAAAACCGTGCACGCTCCCGCGGTTTCCATCCATCCCAGTCAAATTCGGAGTTAACGAGTCCCGAATTAATCCGCCCCCATAATTTGGGTCAAATCTGCACCGAATCGGAGCGAGCACATTTAATTTAACGTGACTGGTGCAACTGTTTCCTGCACGGTTCCTTTTATATATGTATATATATTATTATTTTTGCCATCAGCACTCAGTACATTGAAACAGGAAACAAATTCAAAGGCCACGGTCCAAAAATTTTCATCAGCAGTAAAATATTTTAAAAGTGACCCTTGGAAAACAAAAAAAAAAGCCACAAACCAAAAAACCCCACCAAGGCCAAACTCCCTGCGCTGTCATAAAAAACCTGGGACTTTTATTAGTTCTTAATAATTCGCAAGGTGAGGACGAATCCACTCCTGGCTGTCCGTGGTAACTCCTGAATCACAGAGGATTAATAAAAACCCCCAAACTCAGGCTGCTATCCTTCACCTGCAATATGCAGCTCCAAAAAAAGTGGTGTAGATCAAGTGATTTTAGTTAACACACAGCCTTACTCTGCTTTGACGCTTGCTCTGAGCAGGTCATGGGCTTTGCACGGGAGGGAAATGGGTCCAAACCACCCAAAATTCCTGTTTGGAAGACAGGAAAATTCAGCATGGTCTATGCCCTTGCCCTGCTTCAGCAAAAAACAAACAACCCCAAAATCCTCCAAGCAAAGCATTTAAACCTGCTCCGTGTGGCCTGGAAAGAAGCCATAAAACCACCCAGCGAAACAGCATCTTCACTTTCTTTTTAAGGAATTAATTCATTACACATAAACACCCTGGGAATAACCCACGGCCCCAGAAAAAGCAGCAATCCAAACCCATCTCTGCTTAAAAAAAGCCCAACCCTTTATTTAATTTCTTCCTCTTTCTCCCTTTTCTTTACAACCTCCCGCAGTGGCACACCCGGCTCCCAGCCGCCATCTCCGCGTGGCTCCTTAGGTTTCCAATTAACCGCGTGGGGCGGGAAGCCGGTAGGATTGGGATCCAGAGCAGATCACATCATGCACAGGAGCACGTCAGCCTCCCAGCCTGACTCTGATAGGAATTTCTCCCCGCTCCAAGCGGATGATGTTATTTTATTAATAATAATTTATTAGCCCGCGCTACCTGAGGAGGTTTTCCAGCGATTCCTGGAGCCACATGCTGTTCTGGAGTCAATCCGGGAGCAAACTGGATTGATTTATGCCTGCTTGAGTTTCCTAAGCTACCGGGTCATCCTTTACTACTGTTTGCTATTTTTCTGCAGATTTGGGAGTTTCCCAGCAAAAAGCATTGCCAAAATAGCGACTCCCAGTATTTTCCCAGTAAGGGGAATGCTCTTACACACATTTTACAACACGATGGGCTCGATTTGTGGACGCAGGAGGAGCAACACTGATGTAAACCCTGAGTAATTCAGTGGTAAATCTGGTCTGTGCATCTACTTATAGGGACCTAT